TTTTTTTCTTTTTTTAAAAATTCTTTTACTTATCGCTGTGTTACTGAGTGCAGCTCTAGTTTCTTATCTGTAAAGTGGGTACAAGAATAGCACCTGCACTAGAGGTTTGAAAAGAGACAGGGTTTAAAGTGTTTGGCACAGCACCTGCAGGACAAAGGTGCCTGGTAAATGGTTGCCATCCTATAGATGAGCCAACCGGCTCCTTGGGACCAGGATTAGAGGGGGGCAGTGTCTTGGGAACCAAAGAGGAGCATAGGATCACCTCAATAGAAGCTGCTTTCCTTGTGTCCCCTCCACTCAATAGATGTCACATCTGAGAACTCCAGAACCACAGGAGGCTTGAGCAGGGTCCCCATCTTGTATGAAAAAAATTGAGGCTCGGAGAGGTGAAGACACTGGCCCAGTATCACAGAGCCAGAAAATGGCAGGGCCGGACCTTAAGGCCAGATCAGCTGTCCATATTCTGCTCAGTTGGCAGAGATAAAGGCTTTGTTACTCCTATGCCGGGGGTCTCCTTTACAGATCCTGGTGGCTTTGGTGTGTCCAGCTCCACCTAGAGACTCTCTCAGCCCAAAGAGAGCCAGGGATCCCTGCATCCACACCTGGAAAATGTTCCTTACCCAAATCGGACTGATCACCTGTTGTTGAAGCTCAGTATGGTTAGGAACTACAGGGCCCACCCATTCCTTTATCCAAGGGTCTGTTAAGACACACTGGTGACAGATAAGGGCAGACTCTCCAGAGGCCAGAATGAGGGGGCAAAAGGTCCTACAGGGAGCACATAGGGATGGCTCTGTGGGTGCACTGCCCAGATCTGTGAAGCCACATGCATGCACATGGGACATTCAGATATAAATAAGTGTGACGAGCCGACTAGCTTTGACTGAGCCGTTACCATGCTGCACACACTGCCATGAGCATCACACAGACTAATCCTCAGCCTAGCAGGCAGCCAAGGCTCAGAGTGGTTATGAGACTTGGCCAAGGCCACACAGGCAGTACGTGACAGAGCCTGGAGGCAAAGCCAGGGAGTTTGGACCTCAGAGTCTGAGCTGAACTACCATGGAGAGACAGGTATGGAGGGAATTTGCCCAATGTCTTTCATCTCTCAGGGAGTTAAAGACAGGGCTGGACCTAGAACCCAGGCAGCACCAGGAAGGGCTGAGCTCCAGGACCCTGGAGGCAGCGTGGTGGGGTGAGAACCACTGCAGAGCAGTGGGGACCCAGCAGAAGGGGTGCCAGCATCAGAGACATCCATCTGGGTGTCTTCAACCCTATAAGACATCAAGTCACTTTTGGTATCAGAAAAAATGAGGACATGGTAAAGCAGAGTTAGCACAATGCCAGTCTACTCTGATAGGTGTCATTCTTACATACCATAGCCCACCAGGGGGTTGGGGACTGCGCGCACAGACAGGTCAAACAGGGCCACATGATGGATGTCACCTCACAGTCACTGGGAGTGGTGTGTGGTCCAGTAGAGGGACCCAAGCTGACAATGTTGTGTTGTCTTTCCATGATGGTACATGTAACCTCATTGGGAGATACCATTAAAAGTCTAAGTAGAAGGCCTCACGGGCACCACCGCTGCCACGCTCTGTCCCCTGGCACAAGGACCCTGAGAGCCTCAGGTCCCACAGTTCTGCACACGCCAGCTGTTCCTGGCCAGGAGGTGCAGCTGAGGGCTAGGTAGCATGAGAATGTGCAGGCACGTGTGCACACCCACGTGAACTTGAATGTCTCCTGCATACTTTTTAAAAATAAATCATGGATGCCCAGGGGCAGAAGTCTAAAAAAAGGCTGCCTAGCCCATGCTGCTATTCACGGGTGGGTGATGTCATCTCACCAAGCGTCAGCTTCCTTATCAGCGCCACAAATCTGATGGCAAACTACCCAGGATGTAAGGAAAGAAGGACGCAGTGAGATGCCGGAGATGAGAGTGTCTTGGGAATAAAATGTGCTCATTACCTGCAAGAGATAGTGGCTACTTTTCTGAGGACAGAGCTGCAGAAAGGGGGGTGGCAGCGCATGAAGCCACAGGGCTGGGGATGGCTGGCTTCCACCGCTGTGCCTGAGGAAGGTGGCTGTTTCTGGGTAGGGTAAGAGGGATACTGGCCTTTTAAAAAGAAAAGGGAAGTGTGTGCTTAAGAGTTTTTGGAAATAAAATACAGACGAGGCCCCAAGGCTGCAGGTGAACCCGGCTAAACCCTTCCAGGCCTCCCAATGGTTCCCTGAGGACCGCCTCACCCTGCTGAGAGCCAGGGGGCTGGAGGAGGATCTTGCCCTCTGCAGAGGTGGACACCTCTATGTGTCCAGCTCCCTTACTGTGATGCCTCTGGGAACAGCAATCCCATTGCTCCTAGCAAAGACAGACCTGTTTCTGAGCCTCAGGGATGCAAACTTATTGCATATGAACGTCTTTCCGGGCACCTGGCACCGGGTTGTTGCTTTGCCTGGTCCTCTGACTTTCCTTCCCGAGTCTTGTGAGGGACAGGGGCTCCACTTCTTCTCTCCCAACCAGCCAGGCGCCCAGCAGGTCCTCCCACACTGATAAGGGGAGCACCGTCTGGTTTTGGAGTTTCTCCGCTTGGGCAGGAAGTCCCTGCTCCAGGCTTCCCTGCAGGTCCCCTCGGTGTCCTGCACCCTGCCTCCATCCTCCCCAAAGAAATGAAGCTGCTTCCCACTTTGGAAACGTTTATTCTGAGAAACCAGGCAGGGCAGCGGCGGCGGGCACCTTACTGGGTGTTCAGCTTCTTGGCGGCCTCATCCAGGGCGCTCAGGAGGCTGACCTTGAAGCTCTCCAGCACGGGCATCAGGCCCTGGCGCAGGTCCTCCAGCGCGGGCTTGGCTTTCTCGCCCAGCGCGCTCAGGTGCTCGCTGGCCTTGGCGTGGTAGTCAGCTAGGCTGGCGGTGCCGCCCTCCTTGAGGGCCTCGAGGCGCGTGGCCAGGCGCTGGCGCAGGTCGTCGCTGTAGGGAGCCAGCTGAGTGCGCAGCGTGTCCACGTGGGCGCGCGCGCGGTCGCGCAAGTCCTCGCCTAGCGGGACCAGCTTCTCGTGCAGCTCCTGCAGCTTCTGGCGCGCGCCTTCGCGCAGCTCGGAGCCCAGCGGCTCCACCTTCTGACGGTAGCGTTCCACCTCCTCCTGCCACTTCTTTTGGAACTCGTCCAGGTAGGGCTGCACCTTCTGCTTCACCTCCTCCAGATCCTTGTTCATCTCCTGCCGCAGTCCCTCAGTCTCCTTCTCCAGCTTATCCCAAAACTCCTGGCTCACTGTGCCCAGCTGCTCACGGAGCTTGGTCAAGGTGGGGGTCAAGCTGTCCCAGTTGTCCAGGAGTTTCAGGCTGGAAGAGGAGAGAGAGGGGCTGAGGGGTGGCCTTCCCGGGCTCCCTGGCTTGCCCTGGAGCTGCAAGCCCAGCGCCCCAGCTGTCCCCAGTTGAGCCGTGGGCATCACCTGCCCCAGAGCGTGCCATAGCTGTGGGCTTGGGTTGCCCACTGCCTCATTCTGTACTCCTGCCCCCACCTCCACGGCCCCTTGTGCAGATGGTCTGAGGCACAGAGAGGAGCTAGAAGGAGTGGGTGCCTGGTGTTGCCTATCCCCAGAGCTGGGCCCTTGAAGGACCTAGCCTCTTCCAGTCCATTCTCCTTTCGAAGACAACCAACACTCTTGCCAGGCAGGAGCAGAGGTGGTTAAGAAGGGGAAGGAGCTTCCTGCACTTGCAAGCAGAACGTGGTGCTGTGGTTACTGATCAGGTAGCACTGGTCTGTCCCTTGCAGTGGGTGTGTGACCCTGCATGGGAATCCCATGTTGGTTTCTCCATCCAAACCATCCCTGGGGTCTGATCCATCAATCAGCAGGTAAGGATTTGGTTACAACATCTTCTCACTAGCCTCTCTGCCCCACCAGCATTCTCTTCCCCTGTCCCAGACCCCAGGCTGGGTCCTTACTTTAGCTGTTTTCCCAAGGCGGAAGCTTCGAACTGGGACACATAGTCTCTGCCGCTGTCTTTGAGTGCATCCACATACACAGTGGCCAAATCCTTCACTCGATCCCAGGGGGACTCGGGCTCATCTTGCTGCCAGAAATGCCGAGCCTGGCTCCCTGGGGGTGGGAGGGAGACCCAGATCAGGCCAGCTCTGGGCTGGGATCTGAGCAGAAATGCCAGGCTTGGAGGTGGGGAAGAGAGGCCTAATGAGAAATCCTGCTCCCTGTGCCCAGGAAGGTGGACCACAGAGGTTTAGGGCGAAGGCCCCCAATGACTGGCTTCCCTAGGTTGGAGGGTACCTACCCGTTAGGAAGAGCACAGCCAGCGTCAGCACCACAGCTTTCATCCTGAAGTGGGATAGGTGACCTGGAGAAGAAAAGGGGCCTGGCTGAGTGGGAATCCTCTAGGGCAGCAGTTCTCAACCTGTGGGTCGCGACCCCTTTGTAACAATGAAAATACATTGTGGCATTAGGAAGGCTGAGAACCACTGCTCTAGGGTGCAGAAGCAGCCAGGGGAGGAGGGAACAGCCTGGAGAAGACGGCAGGTACCCAGACTTC